TTCCTTCCTTCCTTCCTTCCTTGTGCTACCCCATGAGTGCATAGCGCTATTCTATGTGGTGCACGTTTAACACAACATACTCAAACACAGTGAAAACCAGACAATAGCAAATGGGATAAACCATGTGTTAAGTTCTGCTGCTGCCGTGTTTCAGAGCAGCAGTACAGGGGTGAATATGTTTAAGAGAGGACGCCATGCTTCTGGCCTCTTGAGGAGCATCTTCATCAGCCTCTTAAGATTAGGAAGGTAGCCAGGCATGGGTCCAACCTGTGATTCCAAAGAGTTGGGGCCACCACCGAGAAGGCCTAATTTATTTAAAAAAATTTTCTAGCCTCCTTTGGCGTAGCCAGTGGGAATCCAATGGGCAGGACAGGATTCCTTCTTTGATCTAGGCACTTGCTTGTTTTACGCACTGTTAATTTCTTTTGTGTGCTGGGCAAAATGCGACAGGTTCCTGTCCCACAGCGTTTATATGTCAAGTGTGCTAGGCTGGCCAGAGGCCATGACACCCTAACTCAGTGGAACAGGACTATCACACATGTGTTTCCTCACATGAGGAGGAAAACCGTATAGCACATAACCCGCTGCAGAATGCATAGGGTTGAACATGTTTGAATGGAAACCACCACCCCCAGTACCATGTGATTAACTTCCAGTGCCAAGAAGAAAATCACAGAGAGAAGGCAAAGCTACCGTCCTGTCTCCTGATGTGCTAGATTGCTCTTGTGAAGCAAGATCTGGTGGAACAAAGGCGACGTCTTTTTCTACAAATGTCATCCCCCTCTACATTGTGAATTGTGTATCTCCCAAGAGCAGATCTTGAATGGAAACACTACGAAACAGCCACTGGTGACATGTTCCTTCAATGTAGGAAATGCCTCCCCCCCACCTGAAATTTGTGAGGCAGTTTTGCAGAAATATGCAATGATAGACAGGGATCTCTGTTTTTTCCCGTTTTTTCGCTTGACGTCGATTAGGAGCCTGCTTTGCGAACCATTTGTTCGCTAAACGACAATTTTTTCCGGTTCCGTAAAATGGCTTCCCTCCTTTCGCAAAATGGCTGTTTTCTGGACCGCTGCTTCGGAAGACAGCGATTTTAAACAGCTGATGGCGGTTCTCTATGGGCGATCTTCGCTGGACGATGAGGTATTTCCCCATTGGAAGGCATTGGTCGGTTTTCAATGCATTCCAATGGTTTTTTTTTTACTTGACAATTTCGCTTAACAGTGATTTTTGGCACCTGTGTTAGAGCGCGCACTCCCACTGACACTGCTGTATTCTACTTGACAATTTCGCTTAACAGTGATTTTTGGCACCTGTGTTAGAGCGCGCACTCCCACTGACACTGCTGTATTCTTCTGTTTTCTGGACCGCTGCTTCGGAAGACAGCGATTTTAAACAGCTGATCGGTGGTTCTCTATGGGCAATCTTCGCTGGACAATGAGGTATTTCCCCACTGGAAGGCATTGGCCGGTTTTCAATGTATTCCAATGGTTTTTTTGTTGTTGTTTTTTGGCTTGACGATTTCGCTTAACAGTGATTTTTGGCACCTATGTTAGAGTGCGCACTCCCACTGACACTGCTGTATTCTTTCTTTAAAACTAAAATCTGAATCATTTGGTTGGTGCCTGTATGATGATAATATCCCTAGGAAGCCTCACAGAGAGCAGCGGTGGGAGAAATATATTTGAAAGGTCAGAAAAGGAGAAGAAACTAATTAAACACCCAGGTCTGCAGGCATCTTCTAACCCCCATCAGCGCTCCACCTTTGATTGTGGAGATGCATGCAGGCTCAGGGGCTGAATACAGATTTAAGCCCCCGTTGGGAAGCCTCCTTTTCAAAGCTTGGAAGCAGGTTTGGCATGACCTGGTCGTGTGGTGACACTCACAGGGTCAAAGGAAATAACTGCAGGATGTTCTGTTTACACCTGAAGTTCTCTTGTTATCTCACAACAGACCCTCTTTGAAAAATATGAATGAACTGCTAAAGTAAGTACAGATCTCAAAGGCTAGAGATGGTACGTAACCACAAGGGGCAGATGGAAAACAACAAACACTAATTCATGTTTTCAAGACATGTGTAGGCTGTTGATCCGATGAGGGCGAGGAAAGAGGGAAGAAAGGGGGACAGAAAGAGAGAAGAGACCTCCGAGGAGGGTGGCACCAAGTTGTGATTCCTGGAAAGGCAGGAAATGGAGGGAAGAGGGGGCTGTGCAAGGCCCCCCCCCTCTTTAGTATTGCAGGGAAGAGAAAGTCCTCCGAGAAGAGGAGGGTACGAGAAGAGGAGGGTACGTGGAGGAGAAGGTGGGCTGAAAGAGCTTTGGGGGGCTGGAGGGCGAGATGGAGAAGGGGGGGCCCTTTTGGTGGCCTGGGGTGGGGTTTGAAGTAGGCACTCTCTCAAATGCATTGCCTTCTTCAGGAATCTCCACACACACACACACACACACACACACACACACACACACACACACACACCAACCTTCCTTCCAAATGCATTGCCTTCAGAAATCCAGGCTTGTGCGTGAGATTTTTTTTAAAGCATCCTATGATTTCTGAACCAATCAGTAGTGTTCTTCATGGTGTGTGTGTGTGTGTGTGTGTGTGTGTGTGTGTGTGTGTGTGTAGAGAAGGGAATATCTGGTGGGTGGGAGGGGGGAGTACGGCTTAGTGGGTAGAGCTGGGCTGCCTTTATATTCCTCCTGTGCTTTCCTTCCCTCCCATGCCTTTGGTTCCTTTACTTGGCCTGAAAAGGGTCTCCTTCAGCAAGATGGGGTGGTGGTGGAAGACATGGGGTGAAAAAGGGGGAGTAAGGCAGGAGAGGAAGAAGAAGAGTGGCTTTCCCACCCCCCAAAAAATGGAAAATCATTCAGTGGTTATGCTTCTCATTCACTGTAGATGCTCTCCCCACTTCCATGCTCTGCCCTTCTTCCCCATGGGAGGTGGCTGAGATGTTTTGGGGGAGATAATTGGGGAGACAGTCTTGCCCTGTGGAGACACCTGCCCTGATTTTTTTTGGTGGGGGGGAACATGGCACAGGGCTTAAACTGCAGCACTGCCGTGAAGACTCTGCTCATGAGCTGAGTTCAGTCTTGGGCTCAGGTAGTTGGATCAATGGGACGTGGTGGCGCTGTGGGTTAAACCGCAGAAGCCTCTGTACTGCAAGGTCAGAAGACCAGCCGTCGTAAGATCGAATCCACGTGACGGAGTGAGTTCCCGTCGCTTGTCTCAGCTCCTGCCAACCTAGCAGTTCGAAAGCATGTGAAAATGCGAGTAGATAAATGGGGGACAACTTGGTGGGAAGGTAACGGCGGTCCGTGTCTAGTCACACTGGCCACGTGACCACGGAGGATTGTCTGCAGACAAACGCTAGCTCTATGGGTTGGAAACGGAGATGAGCACCGCCCCCTAGAGTAGGACAGGACTGGACAAATTGTCAAGGGAAATGTTTATCTTTTTTTTTAGCTGGATTGAAGTGGACTCAGTCTTCCATCCAATGTCCCTAAATTATCCAGATTGCTGGGGGGAACGGACAATGTGTAGCCTGTATCATGAAATTGTAAACCGCAGAAAGTGCTGTAAGCACTATGGGGCAGTATGTAAGCACCACACACACTTGCTTTGTGTGCATGATGGAAGAGACCTGCCTATGGATTTCCTTCCCATACACCAAAACCGTCCCAGATTTCTTACTTTTTCATTCGGGGGGAAAAACAATTCTTTGGGGGGATGAGGTTAAATGTGAACAGCCTTCTGTTTCGGTTGAAGAGCAGAGATTAGAAGGGAAAAGTAGGTATATGGGAAGGCACGAGGAAAACTTTTTGGACCCATTATGAAAAATGTAAAATCCAATAAAGAGCAAGATCTTATTTTTAGGACCCTCTGAGACTCCAGCATAAAGTGCAAGCTTCTGCGCTCTTCAGAACTCTTCGTCGGGCGAAGGCGGTAAGAGTGTCTCTGTGGAAGGAAGGAATCGGGTCAGCCCAAACAATAGATTGGAGATTTTAAGCGGAAAGCTTTTTTTCCCCTTCTCAGTCCCAAGGAGAGAATCAGAAGGATCGGAGAATCATGAGAGTTTTCAAACTGAGACAGGGCTGGAGACCAGTGGGCATTGGGTTACTGCCACCACCATCATCCCCTCTCACTGGGTGGGTGGGATTGCTTTTATGGGCTGCTACATCCATTCTGATTTATGCTGACCCTCTGAAGGAGTGACTTCTAAAAGGTCCTGTGTGTTTCTTACTGGACCGGCTCAGGTCTTCCAAACTAGAGGCTGTGTCCTGAAAAATACGGGCAGCAATGTGTCAAAATGGCTATCGTGGAAAGAGAGTGACGGGAAAACGTCTCTCTGTTGCCACAGACAAGAATACAGGAAACTGGAAAAACAAATATTAGAAGCCAAAAAAGCAAGTGTTCGCAAAAAGGGAAGGAAAAAATCTCTTGGTGCAATATATACAGTGGTGCCTTGCTTTATAATTGCCCCGTTTAATGACAAAACTGCATTACGACGAACTTTTTGCGATTGCTTTTGCGATCGCAAAAAGATGTTTCCTATGGGGGAATTTCGCTTTGCGATTATTGGTTCCCTGCTTTGGGAACCGATTCTTCGCAAAACGACGATTTTCCAACAGCTGATCGGCGGTTTCAAAATGGCTGCCGGGTAAACAAGGCCCCCCCACTGTTTTCTGGGACGGATTCCTCGCTGCACAGGCAGCGAAAATGGCTGCCCTATGGAGGATCTTCATTGGACAGTGAGTTTACAGCCCTCTGGAACGCATTAAACGGGTTTTAATGCGTTTCAGTGGTTTCTTTCTTTTCACATTATGGCGTTTTCGTTCTACAGCGATTTTGCTGGAACGAATTAA